CCTCCAGGGTAGCTGAGATTACAGACATGCAGCACTATACTGGGCTAAGACTTTGATTAATTTTAAGTTCTATATATTTAAAAGTCACATGTCTTTTAAAAAGTGTTTAGTTTTGTACATCATGATAACTTTTGGTAAGAGGCTGTTAAAGAACAGAGAGATCTTTTTTCTCGATACATTTCTGGTGTAGCCAGAACCAAGGCTCAGCCCGTCTCAAATAGAGTCCAAAAACCTAGAGCTGTAGGTCTTCGGGTTAAGAGGGGTCTTGCACTTGGGATAAGGGGATAAACAATCTCATCTGATGCTGAGGGTCTTGGGTAGAGAAGCTTCCCATATGGGCGCCTTCCAGATTCTGAAGCAGGACAGTATGGTCCCTTTCTCTCCATCACACACTATAACACCAGGCTAAGAGCTGTGGGCACCATGGACATGACGCGGCAGGAGACTGAGAGGGAGCCCTTCCTTCCTCAGCCTGTGTGTTGCACACATTTAAGTTTTCTTGACAAGTATGTGGAACACGGGGAGACCTGCACAATTTAGCAGATATCCATGGTATGACTGTAAGGACCAGAATACACTCCATTGCTATAAGAGAACAGAATGTTAGAGAATGACACACGAGATGGAAACAGAAGCATGCGGGAACTCCAGCAGCTAACTGCTTTCTGTCCTATCTGCGCGCCCTCTTTCCTATCTGTCACTCCTCGCTGTGGGGCCCCTCCCACCCTCAACATTGCACTGTCTTTCCAACATCAGTCCTGTTTTCTTGGTCAACATCTGGACCCCTGCCAGGTTTCTACCTTGGCCTCGGTACAACTCCAGACACACCCCTTTGACTTCCATTCCTAAGGCTATTCTTACTGTCTCCAACACCAAGAGAAGAATCTTGCTGCCACAGCTCAGCTTGCTGCAGCAGACTCCTGGTTCCAAGGCCAGGGAGCTGGACTGCTTTGGGTTAGAGGACAACATCCTGGGCCAATCACCCAGAGCTGGAGGGTACCACGTGGTAGCATGGCTCACCCCAGAGCTAGGCCCTCAAGGGGGAAGGTGGAGGTGCGTGTAAAAGAGCACCTTCAGAAATCGGTGAGTTCTAGAAGCAGGACCTTAGGCAATGATCTGGTCCAAACCATGCCCCCACTAAAATCCTAAATCTCCCCGGGTTAACAGGCGTCACTTCCCTCCTGAGGATCTCTGAGGTGAAGAGCGACTGGATACGGGTGATGAATGGATGGGAAAAGTCATTTATTAAATCTCACAGTAACTTTGGGACTGAATGACGCTTTGGAACTGAGGTTGGAATGACATCTCACAAGTACAACTGTTTTCTGAGTATGTTCACTACATACTATGTAATGGATATATTTTTTTTTTTGAAACACCTAGAATCTCATATACTCTTCTGTGTTTAAATGTCAGAAATTATATTTAACATACATGTGAAAACTCTCCAGTATTTTTCTTCTTTTGAGAGGTGTTTTCAGCAGAGTGCTGGAATAAAATTGAAATGATACCCTTGAATTTTGGTGTTCAGAAAAAGATGAACATAGACCTAGCGACACTTAGCTTTTGCAGTCCTTGAGTGGGAATACTATAATGAGTATCGGGTCACCTGCAGAGTTTGGGTCACCCCAAAACACAACTGAACTTCCAAATCACTTCACTAATCACTAACAGAATGGCTTACGCTTTCGGGATTCTTACTGGCACCGAAGAATTCATTTTAGTGGCAGTATTAATTTATCCAAAACAGGTAACAGAAAAGCATTCAGAACCAGTGTATTCTTTTGTTTTTCTAGAAAAATAAACAACAAAAACAAAAAAAAAAGCTGCAGAGACACTCAGAAGAGAGCTGCACTTGGTTCCAAAACAGAAGTGATACAATTGCAAGACCTGTTCAGACTTGCAAGCTATTTTATCCAGCCAGCTGCGCAGGGGAAAAGGCCTGAGTATTCATGTATCCAGAGTCATGGCCTGTGGCATAATCACCAAGCCAAGCACGAGAACTTTCAGCACACCCTTCCTACTACTAGCTTGGCTCAAATTCAGTTAACAAATGTATCCATGACACGGGGTACATTCTGACACATGAGAAACAAAATATCCTATACACCCATGAACAGATGAAGAAAATGAGGTCTTTAGCTACAACGGAGTACTACTGTACCATAAAGCAGGATATATTCGAGGCATCTGTAGGTTGATTCACCTCAAGACCACACATAACGCTAAGTGAAATGAATCAGACACAGAGTTGAAGTATCTCATGGATTTTCTTGTGTGAGAAACCAAAATACAAATAAAGTGCAAAATAAAGGATATACAACAGGAAAATAGGAGATCTTTTTCAAATGGGAAGAGGAAAAAGAGATTGGAGGAGTGGGGAGAAAAGGAAAGAGAATTTTGAAAAAGAATTAAAAAGCTCACGGAAACAGCTTTTCAAAAGTAAGGGGGATCAAGAGTTGTAGAGAGGGGCTGGTGTGATGGCTCAGTGGTCTAAAGCACCTATTTAGAACAAGCTAAGCTAAGCAAAACACAGGGACCGCGGTTCAATCCCCCAGCACCACATGCCAGCCAGCCCCACCCCCTGGTGGGCTGAGCTGGCCACACACACACTAAATAAATTAATATAAAAAAAAAAGAGTTAGAGAGAGCAGAGAGGAATGGGAAGGGGGGGGGACAAAAAGAACTGAAATATATTATGTACAGACTCTACAATAAATGTACTGAAACATGTACTAATAAAAATACATAATAAAACTAAAAAAATGGGAACAACTCAAATACCCAGTTATAAACTATATTGGTTTTACTTTACTTGTGAGGAGAAAGAGTAGAATAAAGGTTGAGTGTCTATTACTTTGCAATGTGTAGTACCAAAAGTGTTGTTTGGATTTCAGACCTTGGAATACAAAAACAGAAGATGTTTTGGGGATGGGACTCAAGTACGCGCCCGAAATTCGTATTTGCTTCCTATGAACCTTGTACACAGAGTCTGAAGAAAATGTCACACAAATATTTCTTTAGTGTACCTAACTTTACACTATGACTCATAATAGGAGGACAGGTGTGAAACTTTTCCTCCGTGGTCTCAGTGTGTTCTTTTGGGTGAGGGACGTTCAACTTATAATTTACACAGGAAATAATTCTCAGTTGTGCTGCCAATAGTTTATGCCAGCTAGTTCTTTGTGTCAGGTAGTAGTGGAGGGGACCTGTGCTCTACAAGATGTTTTTTTTTTTTTTTTTTTTGTGGAACCAGGGATTGAACTCAGGCCCTTGCGCTCGCCAGAAAAGTGCTTATTCCACTGAGCCATCTCCCCGGGCCCTAAGATGTTTATAATATCTTTGGCCTCCACTCACACAATGCTAGCAGCACCACGATCCAGACATGGCCACCAACACTGTCCCCAAACATCGTCAAATGTCCTCCTGGAGAAGCAGGAGTAAAACTTTTACCAGGTCACCCACTATGTGAAACAAAGACGGAGTCTAGCTGTTCATAGCAAAGAGCACACTATCCAGGATTAAACCAACTCCCCAGAAGCAGGCCGACTTCACTGACTTCATTGTCCCATTTTTACAGTAAGCCTGGTGGGGCTGAATGGACGGCCCTGCCCTCCTTTGCTGAAAGGAGGTCAGAAGGGCGAGTGCAAGGAACTTTTTAGCTAGCACGTCACTGTGTTCCTCGGTAGGGGAGTCAGGACAGCATAAGACCACAGTTTATGATTAGGCTGGAAAGGCTTTAATTCTGCCATTTAGGATGAGGCATGTTTTTAAGGGCCTGAGGACTTCAGTTTATTTGAGACAGAGTCTAAATTTTTAGGTAGTTTAGGCTGCCCTTGAAATTACCATGTAGCCCACACTGGCCATGAACTCGTGGTGATCCTCCTGCCTCAGCTTCCTGAGTGCTGGAGTTACATGCATGGACCACCATGCTCAGATAGGTCCCAAAGACACCTGGCTGACAGAACCAACCCTCACAGTGATGCCATTCGCCTCCTTGAGGCCTACTTGCCACATGAAAAGATTTACAGTGCCTGTCAACAGGTGGGACCAGATCCTTTACTGCTGTATCTTCCCAGGTCCATTCTGGAAATCACCCAGGAGGGAAGAAGGGATGACCCTCTGGGGGTTCAACAGATAAGTGCCTGGGAAAAAACAGATTTTCTTTTTATGCTCAAGAGCTCTTTATCCGAAACCCCCTTGAGCAGCTCTGCCCACAGTCAGCCCTCGCAGGTGTTTCTTTCCAGATTACACAGCAAGGACCGCAAAGACACTGCCTTCCTTGGGAAAGGGTACTGTCAGGCTTCACAGACCGCTTCCCAGAGGGCAGGACGGGAGAGCACTGCAGAGTCCCTCTGTGCAGCGCCCAGCTCTAGAGAGCTGTCTAAACCTTATACCCCTCAGTATGTACAGTGACTGGTTCTAGGCCCTGTTCCTCCCCATACCAAAACCTAGGGACACTCACGACCTTCATATAAAATAGTACAATATGTGCACAGAAACTAAACATATTCTCCATACATCCAAGTCTTAGTGTATTAAAGTATACCAAAATCAGTTTATATTACTTGTAATGTAGAATTCTATGCACTGTGTATATAGCTTTTCCTGGTTAAGCAATGACAGAAAAATGTACACATTGAATAAAGATACATTTCTTTTCTTCCCGAATATTTTTGATCTACAACTGATTGAATCTGTGCATGTGCAAACCCTGGCCAGGCGTTACAAGACATGAAAACAGCTGTGACGCACAACTTCCAACCAGCAAAGAGTGGACGGGGTGCTGACCGGGGACGTGAGGACAGACAGGCACCCACAGCTTCTGGCAGACGCCCAAGTGCCGGCGCGGCCAATGCCGGAGCATTCTTGTTTACGTCGGAGCAGATCCCATTAAGGCCTGGGCACTTGGTTTGACTACTCCCTGCATCAAAGTTAAATTAAATTAGCCAAGTGTCTTCTCTGCAGAGAGCGAGCGACACACACGCAGGCTGACTCACCTTCCAGAAGCTATCCACTTTGCCATACACGAGGGACTGGTTCTGCCTTTTGATTTCGTTAATGTGATGGATGTCGCTGGAGTTCAGGTGCTGCTCGACCACAAATCCCAGAAAGCTGTTGTCTGGGGTGTGAGCTGATGTGGAAAGCAAAGGACAGGGCTGTTAGCGTGGGACCAGTAAGCAGCAGCAGCAGCCGCAGACCGAGTCGAGCCTCCTTCGCCATCTCTCCTCTTACCTACTCCTCCTGGCTGGGGCCGGGGGCGGGACTGACCTCCCCCACTGTAGCAAAAGCTTCATACAATTCCCTCGAGGATGGATTAAGCTAAACAAAGCCATGCTCTTTTTAAGGGAAAATTCATCTGTCTAAAAATCACTGTGAGGCACCCTACCCTCTCCTCATTCCCTCAGCGTAGAGCTGGCCTCTGGGCAAATATTCCCTCAGCCAGCTTTGAACTCTTGAGAGCCAGCTTTGAGAGCCAAGAGTCAGAGGCTGATCAGTGGCTCTGAACCGAAAATGTCCACGCATGCCTGGTCTGACTCCTGCTGCACCTGGATCCCGCTGGGTAGCAGGGCAGAGGCCAAACCTGAGCGGGACCTGCCTGCCCACAGTTTCATCTCCTCTAACAATTATTAAACAACAGTGCACAATTACGTGTTGCACAGCACTTCAGTCCGTGATCGCCTGCTCATAAAATGATGGCCCCAGAAGATTACTGGCCTGGCGATGTCACAGCTTGTGACAGCATATGTCCTAAGGTACTTGCACAATGATGTAGTAACCTAACACAGTTCTTAGCACATGGGACTATAATTTAAGGGGCTGTACTAAACAGGGCATGCCATGAAAGCAGAATAAAGGTGCTGCTCACTCGTGTAAAATCCACTCCAAAAAGCCCACTATTAAAGAACAGTGCCTGTAGGTTATTTTGGAATAGGAAAAGGAAGTGTCTATTGACTCTATACCAAGAGGGAAACAATCCTATCACCTCCCCAAACATTTGTATATTTTGCCTATAATTTAAAAAAGAACTTCTGTAAGTTGACTCTCAAAAGACCATTCTCTCTTGATTAAACAGAGACCACCTTCTTCTCGCCTTCTCTTCAGAGAAATTTCAAATTTTCAGGAGATATCTAGCAGAAGCCCCACATGCCCAGTACTAAAGAAAGCAACTGCTCTGTTTGGTCTGGCCTGAACAGCTATAAATAATAATAAACCAAACTCCTCTCCCTAACTGAGATCTACTCAATAAAATCTATGTACTGTAGCCCCAACTATATCCATTTTTAGGAAGGAGGAAGACTCCCAAGCAGGGAGGCTGTCCCTTTGTCTTGTTCTGCTTTTCTCATGACCAACGAGGCCTGGCCCAGGCGTCATGGTGGCACCACAGCCCTGGAAGCCACACAGGGTGGCCTGAGGCCCAGACCCAGAGATCAGACGCCCAATCTCTTTCATACTAGTCCTGTGCAGGGAGTAACAGGAACAAGAGGGACCCTGGCAGGAGGCCTGGAGCCATGGAGACAGGAGTAGCATAAATACTGTGCTGTCACCATCCGGTCTCCCGGGCCTGTGCCTAATGGGGGTGACAAAACGAGCAGATAATAGGGTTGTGACTGGGGAGATGTGTGCAGTCTGGCCAATCTGTTATTTCATTTCTGCGTTTTTGAACGCGTGCCCAGAGGCAAGGGCAAGGGCTGCAGTTGGCTGAAAAGTAAATTACTGAATAAATTCTCCCGCCAACAAGAGTCAACCATTGCCTTTTTTTCCCTTTTTCTTTTGAGGAACTGACAGAGAGGGGATTTGGTGGGGAGGAGCAAGAGATTTTGTGTGCATCTTAAACATCATTCAAACAATTAAAGAAATCCCTTCCCAAAGCTTTTTTTGTTATTCTAAAAGTTCTGAACTAGAATTTGACACCCTAATTTTTTTCCAGAAAAATTAATGTAACTAAAGTTCCATTCTTAAGATTTTTTTTTTTTACCCTAACATTCGGTTATCTAATTTATGTGGGCACTTAAAAAAATCTAGTATAAAAAATACCTAATGAGTCTTATTTCATGTTACACTGCACTAAAGTGGAGTCAAAAATCCAATGACCGCCATCCTTCCCCCATAATACACATGCATAAATGTCTGTGTAAAGATGTAATAGCTTCAATAGTGAGATAGAGGGGGAAGAAAACAATTTATTCCAAAAACTTGAGAGGAATAGCAAGTTTTGGCTGCACTGTGACTGTAATTTGGTACTAAATCAACTGACACTGTATGAAGGATAAATTACACATCCAAGCTCTCCTCTAAATTTTCATCCAAGTGCTTTTCACCAAAACTCCTCTTTCATGATGAGGTACTAACCTGAGGAGCAACGACACACCCGGGTGGTGTGCAACAGCAGATGCTTACCACGGGCACACCCAGATTTAATGACCCCAGACCTGAGTACCAGCCCAGCCTCTCCAGGAGCCTGGCCAGGTAATGCTGAATTTGTCCCTGGACATCAAATCTCGACCTGCCAGTTTACTCAGCTTTGCCTCACCCTAGCAGGTGTGTGGAGTCAACACAGGCCAGATGTGACTTGTTTCCAAGGGGATGGATGTTCAGCAGCTGATGGTTGCTTGGTCTCATCTGCCGAGAGGACCCTGCTCTCAGCATGAGGCTTCTCATGCTGATTATAATGAACTGAAAGCTACAAGCCCCTGCACTTCTTTAACTCTGCGCTTCTCTCCCTTCCTCACTGGTCTCTAACCCCAATCCACCCTCTGCACAGCTTCACAAGGCTTATCAAAATAATTCCATACAACAAATCTGGATGGCAGCAGTTTCACCCCCCTCAGGATGAGGCACGGCCCAGGGAAGGCATCACTCCAGCTTTGTCTCTGCCCAACTGTGACTTAAGTAGGCTGGGCTGTGTCTGCTTGGCTGCCTAAGGCTTCCTCCTGCCCATCAGGCTTAGCCCACATCAAACAGCTCAAGGCTACGCACACCTCCTCAGTGCTCTAAAACAGGAAGAGAGGGAGCCGGTATCTTAATAGACTGGATCCTCCCTGAAGATCAAGCATGGCTTATATACTTGATTTCCTGCAGCACAGAACATAGCAGCCATTAAGTAAATATTTTTGGAATGCAGGACTGATCAAGTTACTAAGAGACGGGACTTCACTTCCAGCATCATGTTCTTGCTACAGAAGTGCCAAAACCAAAACCCATTCTTGCCATAAATAAGCCAACACTGCTGGCCACGCCCTGCAAAGCCTCATGGCTCAGAGGCAGGGACATCTGGAAGGTGACTGGATTATGGGGCTGCTACAGCTGGCTTGGGCTTGGGAGGTGGGGCCTAGCTGGAAGAGGGAGAGCACTGGGGGCACGACCTGGGAAGGGCACACCTCCCTCCCAGCTGCCATGAGGGAGAAACTTTTCCTCTGCTATGGCCTCCTGCTTTGGAGTTAGAGGACTACAGATTGAAAACTTGGGCCTCTTTTTTTTTTTTTTGCGGAACCAGGGATTGAACTCAGGCCTTTGAGCTTGCCCAGGTAAGCAGTTATTCTACTGAGCCATCTCTCCAGCCCCCTGGGCCTCCTGTAAGTTGTGCATCAGGTATTATGTCTCAGTGACAAAAAAGTAACTCTATCCCAGAACCCCTCCTAGACTGATATACGTACTGTAGATACAGAGTAAAAGTTTACTGACCTGACAAATTGGCCTGCTTTTTTTTATTTAGGTCACAAAATGGATGTTAGAAAAAGGGAAACAAATCAGAGACACAGACATTTTAAAGTTCTACTGCCATGGGATGCCAGACACTGATCTTCATTCAGACTCAACACATTTACTCAGCAATGATGAGCAGGTAAGAACTCAGGAACTAAGGACACACCAGGGAGCAGGGCCCGCACGATGTCCCTTCTGTGAGCACATCCACTGGAGATGCACAGTAAGCACAGCAATCCAGTGTTATGACAAAGGGGAGAGAAACACTCCAGGCTTTCTGACCAATACCAAGTTCCAGTTAATGATCTCATGTGGAAACACTTAAGGGTTCCTTGACAGAGAAAAGACTGACATATGGACAGAAGTCACAGAACAAGCCAAGCAAATTGCTAACTGTACAAGCTAGGCTGTGGGTTTCTAGCATATATTTTTTTCTTTTGTTCTGTTGGAAAAATGTCATTAAAATATTAATATATATAATACATATAATTACATGACACAAATGATTTGGTTTAAAAACTATGTAAGTAGTGATATTATGCATTCAAGTTTTACCGGAATTAATTTTTTCCCCAAATGGTGGTGACGGTAGCCTCTGTGGGAGAAAAGGCTAGGATGCAGGCTCAGACATCTATAATGTAGAGCTGAGTGGAAAGGATGTGTGCCGGACTGAGGACAGAAGGTACACTGGAGTAAATTCAAGGGTCAAAAAGCAATTTGGGAGAGAACGAACTTCCTAGAAGGACATCACTCTTGGTGTCTGCGACTCAAGTGGGAGGAATGGAGACCAGTTTCATTACTCACAGGTCCTCACTCAAGTAAAGGGAAGACTTCTCCCAGTCTAAGTAAAAGGCCAAAATGACAGTTTGAGTCACAAACACCTCCTTTGCCTGTCATTCCCTAAAAGGAAAATCAAACCTGGAATCAATGGATCCTCAGTTACAGCCAAAAGGTTTACCATCCGTAGGGAAGGCTATTTGATCAGTCAGGCTAAACTTTTTATCTGCAAGCTACTATTATAATCTGATATGCAAATTTGCAAAGTGAACCCCAAATCCTGGCAACAACTCAAAGAGGTAGAATGAAGTGACAATGACAATGAGTATGGTTTGAGCAACTCTTGAAATTCTAACCAGGCAGAGTGTAGAAAGAAGGCAGTAAAATGATGTCACTACCTTCACGAAGCGTATGCAATCTCTTATTTGTGCGCTTCTTACTCACCGCTGCATCGTGACATGGACTACAGGGGATGTGTGTGCTTTCAACTGAATTTAATTCAATTGATAAGTGTTCACTGGGCACCCCCCAGATACGAGGTGATACGAAGTCCCTGCCATGAGAAAATCTGACAAATCTCAACCAAATGGCAAATGTTCACTTCAGATGCCATGGGAGGAAAAGCAGACAGTGGAAAGCAAGGCAGACATA